AAAATTCTGTCATTATTAATTCACAATTTCTGCGAAAATTCTGCGATTTGAAAAATATGCTCTTTGAAAAAAAAACTTGCAATTTTTAAAATACTGCGCTCAACTTAGCAAGAAAGTCAATCAGATTTAATTAATTACTACAAATATTCATAATAATTATATAATTATTACAGTATTTATTAAAATATTTGTAATCAATAAAAATATTAGTAATAATTACGAATACAGTATTAGCAATAATTATAAATATTCAAAAAAATAATTTCGTTAAAGTAGATTTCTCTAAAAAAGTAAAAAACAAACCTTTATTTATTGAAAAGTCTAATAATAAAAAATGCTACAATATAAAATTGTATCTTCTTATACTCGTGTTAAAGAATATCCTGAACACCTTCATGTGAATAATAATGTATTTTTTTGCAAATTTTGCAATGTGTCATTAGAATGGAAGTGCAAGTCAACAGTGAAAGATCATATAAATAGCAAATTATATCAAAAAAATAAAACTAATGCTGAAAAAATACTTCTTATATGTATCAAAGAATATTGCAAACTACATTAAATGCTAATGAGATAAGGTGAAGCATAATCAAGGATTTGATTAAAACAATGGTAATAGCTAATATCTGCTTAGAAAAAATAAATCATCTACATTCATTTTTACAAAAATACTGTCATAAAGGAGAATCAGTTCCACAAATATCAACTCTTCAACAAGTTTATCTTCCTGATGTTTTTAAAAATCATCTTGTAATTCTTAAAAATTAATTTAATAAAAAGCCTGTTTCTATAATAATAGATAAAATGACAGATGATTGTGAGAGAAAAGTAGTAAATACTTTATTTACATATTGGAAAAGCACCAAACTTGTTTCAGTAAATTTTTTAGTAGATGTTAATAATACTACAATATCTCAATTGCTTATTGGCATTTTGCCATGATATAATATTTCATTTAATATTTTCTGTCTTTTTTTATCTGATTCTGCCTCTTATGTGAAAAAAAGCTATCATAATATTCTTAAACCATTGATGCCACAACTATTATATAATTCATATTGCATACATATCATTAATTTAGTTAATGAAACTTGGTTTAATTTTTGTCACTTCTCGATTATTAAAGAGTTTTTATTTAAAATAAAAACTATTTTTGTTACTAGTTCTGTACAGAAAAGTCAATATATAATATTTTTAAAAAATTATGGAATTTTTAGACTGCAAAAGGTCCTACTTTCAGTTATTACTTGCTGGAATATGTGGTTTGAAATAATTTATTATATTTTTAATCATTTTTCCTTAATTCCTGATTTTTTTAAGGACAAATCTAAAAATAATTCAACTGATAGTATTAAAAAAATTTTACTTATTCTTAATAACTTTAATAATTTAGGTCTTATTTGAATTTATCTTCATTTTATTACAGTTTATTTTCAAGAGTTCATTTATAATTTAAATTTTTTTTAAACTTAAAATGAACCTGTTTTCCTTTAGTATATAATTGTCTAGAACAACTATTGACTTACCTTCAATCTAACTGTAATTCTAATTTCTTTTCTAAGGAATTAGATAATATAATTCATCAACAAAAAAGTGATTCTTTACAATTTTATATTATATTTTGTGAAGCATTTGAAATTGTATTTAAAAAGTTTAATTCTCATATTAATACTCATTCTTTATATTCTTTATTCAAAGCATGTTGAATATTTGATTCTTCTTATATTTGTTTTGGCTTATTAAAAAGAAAAAATATTCACCAATATTCTATTATTTGTGAATTAGTTAATCCTTCGAAACAAATATTAAGAGAATGAGCTATTTATTGTAGACTAACTGGAAATGAAATATTTGAAAATTTAGACATATTTTGGAAAAGTAATGCAAACAAATTACCATTATTATTTGATATAGCTTTAGATTATATTTGGTTACCTATATCTAGTTGTAATGTTGAGCATAGTTTTTCTATTTATAATAATATTTTAGCTAATAATAGACAAAATCTTTCTGAGACTTTGCTTAAAACATTAAATATAATATACTTTAATAAATAAAAATATTAATTTTTTTTTAATATTTTAAAATTACAGAATTTTTGCAAAATGATGTAAATTCTGTGATATTATGCATTTTGCAAAAAATCATCGTCTCTGGACCCAACCACCCCCCTTCAATTAAAATAAGGTCAACCTGAACCAATCTGTTGTGCTGAGAATAGATGTTGACTTTATCTGTCTTACTTGGGTTAGGTATAAGGTGATGTCAAGAAGGTGTAATTGAAAACAATATGATGGGTTCTGGCTCTGGGATTATGAAACTGAAATATTTTTTATTGAAGTCATGAGAAATGTTAAAGTAATGAAAGATTGTGTAGAAGGGGTTAAAAGTTATAACAAATAAGGTTGGGAAGTGTTGGGAATAATGAGAAGAGTCATGGTCTTGCATAGGCTCTTCTCTCATTTAATTCATTATAAAAAAAATGAAATTCCCCCCTCTCTGAAGATAGTTCCAGATAGTCCAGCATAATTCAATATAGTTTGAATAACTTCTAACAATATACTTGTACTGTTTCTACAAAATATTAATAAAGTTATTAATAAAGACTTTTTAAACTGCCAATACAATAATGCTCTTTAAAAACTGTAGTACTTATCTTGTAATGCTCCTTAAACGATTGCCTTGACCTTGTGCCAAATCGGTAAACTGCCTCTATTATCTTTGAGGAACGTTATGTAGCATAACCCTTTTTTTAGTAACAATCTGTCACATTTGCCCCTATCTTTGGACTCAACATTAAACCTGTCACAATAATTGGTAGTAACTATAAGATCATAACAACCAAAATCTTATTAGCCAATGTTTGAGAAAATATAAAAAAAAAAAACAGACCTAAAATTCTTATGGACCTAACACTATACCAACCCCCTAGTTCAAGTCAACTACATTTGAGTTTCTTGTTGGAAGATTAAAGAGAGGATAAAACCTGTAGATGTAGAAAAGACATGTCCAGATTTGTAAAGCTGTTGTAATCAATCATGAAAGGAAGAAAACACTACTCAACAAACCATGCAGGATACCCTATTGTTAAAATTATTATAAGAAATTTTGGGCAAGTTATAAAAAAAAACAAAAAAAAACAAATGTTATCATAATAATAATTATAAAAAAAAAAAGAGAACCAGAAGTCAATACTTTTCTAAACAAAGCATTCGTATAAGCTATTAACAAAAAAAAAATAATATATATAATGCATATAACAAAAAAAAAATTTTCCAATTGATTAATAATATTTAACAAACAAATAAAAGATCTATAGCAATAGCAATTATAATTACCTTATTATTAGAATACTCCATCATAGATCTCACATCAACTCTAATATAAATAAAGATGAAAATCTGATTATTAATTGTCTTTTTACTTTAATAATCAAGAAAAAAATATATATATATATATAACAATTTCTTTTTTATAAATACTTATTGAAACTATGAACTCCCATCAATTCAATGATCATAGAACTTCCTCCAATATTTTTGAAGATGATGATTTATTAACTTTCAACAACAACTATCTCTCTGGAAGTTACTATACATCTGTGAATAGCTTTTTGCCAAATAGAAACAATCAAGCCAATGATAAAAGACAAGCCCAAGCATAAGACCCAAATATCCTTAAATTAATTTTGTAAGAAATTACTATTGAATTTAAAGAAGTGACTATAGAAGTTGTTGCTGTTATCAGACTTTCTATTTATGAAACCAATTTAGTCCATATGGACACTTTTCATAAAGATGAAAAGAAAGACTCTTTTGAGTAGGTAGAAGCCTTCAATCATACAATTAATACCAATAATTGGTCTTCTGAACACAAGATAAAGATAGCCTCTGATCATTTATGTTGAATTGCTGCAAGTTGGTACAATAGAGTAAAGAATAATTTGATATATTGGGATAGTAAAACCCATTCAGATAAAAGTCTCATTCAATTGTTTGTCCAGTACTTTGTGCCCTCTGAAAAACAGCATAAGTGGTAGATTAACTTAAATAAACTAAAACAACAGCTGTCTAAGTGAATAGATTCGTATACATATAAGTTTAAGAAATTGTTGCAAAAAGTAGATCCTAGGAACCAGCTTTCTAGATTATATGTCATATGAATGTTTCTAAGTAGCTTCAAAACCAAGACTGCTGCATGGTTAAGTATTACAGACCTTAATAGTTTGAATGCTATAATACAAGGTGTCTGTAAAATCAAAGCTGGAGAATACTATAATAAGAAGAATAAAAGAGATAAAGTATATGACAGTGAAGTTATCTGATTATTACAACAAATGCAAATACTAATCACTAAATATAAAAAGTTGACAACTGCATTAGTCACGTATTTTGAAGCAAGACCTAAACTAATAATAATCATGATAACTATGGTAATCATATTAATTACAGCAATAATAATGCCTATCTGACTTGTTATAATTGTAGAGAACCTGGGCATATCTTGTGCAATTGTATATCAGAAAGAACCCAAAACCAAAATTAGCCTCAAATACAAAATTGAGTAAACTCTCAAGCCTAGCCTTAAGTTTATGTGAATTATGCTGCAACATCAACTTAGATTCTCTTCTGTCTAAGAGATGCCAATCACATAAGTGTAGTCAATAAACAAGACAATAATATCAATAAAAATGAAGCCTTTACTGTCTCTGTCATTCATCATTAACCATACACTACTCAAAGACCTAGCTGCTATAGAAAGATAGCACCCATGCCAGCTAATAAAGAATCTCATTCCAACCAGGTCCTGAAATCATGTCTGCCATAGCCCTGTCAAGTAAAAACCTACTAGTAATGTCTGTCCCAATAATGCCTGCTCTAGTAATGTCTGCCTTTGCAGTACTCATACTAGTGGATCCTTTACAAGTACCCTATAGAAAGAGATAACCTTCAGTAGTTGATAACCTAAAACCATATAACATTGTGCAAGATTTGTTGAACATGAAAGTCAATGTCACATTGAGTCAAATGTTGCAATATCCTGATCAAAAATGCCATCTGGCAAATGTAATAAAAAGGTCCTTAGTATCAGTAGCAATCCAGAATCTCAAACCAATTGATATGAAAGTAATGACTATACAAGCTATCACAATTACAAAAACCACTGCTGCTTATTGCTACATTAGAATTAAAGAAAACCTCATAGTGGCTGTGCTTAATTCAAGTACTACTATCAGTATAATATTGAATAAAATAACAAAAAAACTGCAGTTGAAGATTAACGAACCTTTTACAACAATGGTCATTATTGTAAATGGAGCCAGAGTAAAGGCTCTTAAAAAAATAATTAACCTTAAGTTGGTCATGAGCAGTGTAGTAGTTCTGATCATGTTTCAGATTATAGAATTGACTGAACAGATCCTTCTGTTGGGCATAGATTGGTTCTGTCAAACTGGCACCCATTTGCATGCTGATAAAAAAAAACTATATGTGCAATGCCAAGGTAAATTCATAGAAATACTTAAGTTTTATAAAAGAAAAATCTTATTAGCACTCTTAGTCATAAAAAAGAAATCTGAAAAATTGAAAAAGCCAGATAATGAAGACCTATTTGATAATTTCAAATTTGATAATGAAGATTTAAATGAAGTAGAAAGGTTCTTGACTAACTAATGTGATAAGTTAAAGCTGTATAACAATCTTTTGCTTGATTATGAAAGTTCTGCTGTGTATCTGTCTGGTGTTGAAAGTGTCTCTGTAAAGAAAACTAAGGAAGAAGAAGAAAGCATAATCAAAAAACTAAAGAAGAATCTTAACAATGAAGCTCTAACAAATAATCAAAAAAACTATGTAAGTAATATGTTATGTAAGGAAGTAAATGTTTTTACTGAAATCATAGATGATCTTGAACAAACATTGGCATACATTAATGAAATAAATACTAAAAGTGCTCTTCTGATTAAGCAAGTTCTCTACTATGCTGCCTCTAGATATGCAGCTTCATAAAAGAAAAAATTAAAAAATTAAAAATGAAAGGTTTAGTTAAAGAAAGCACCAGCTCGTGGGCATTTTTTGTAGTCATTGTGCCAAAATAAGATAGCAAGCTATGTCTTTGTATCAATTATCAAAAGCTCAACTTAGTTATGAAAAAAGACACATTTCTTCTTCCCTATATTAATGACCTCCTAGAAGTTTTTGGATCAGTTGCATGGTTTTTGACATTGGACCTGTTATCTGAATACTGGCAAGTTTGGATAAAAAATACCGATAGAAAAAAAACTGTTCATTACAAATTTTGGAATGTATAAATTCGTAATAATGCTATTTAGCCTAATGAATGCTCTTGCTATATTTCAATAAATGATGAATAAAGTGTTGACTGAATTTTTGAATTAATTGGTCATTGTATATCTTGACAATATTATCATATATTTACTAACATTTAAGAACCATACTAATTATTTCATTGCTGTTTTTAATAAATTAAAAAGTATAGAATTAAAATTAAACTCAAATAAGTGCTTCTTTTTTAAACCCTACTTGCAATTTTTAAGTCATATTATAAGTAGAGAGGGCATCCATTCTGATGAAAAAAGTAGAAAAAGTTCGTAACTTTCCTATTCTTCAGTCTCTTCATGAATTACAAGGGTTTTTAGAATTAGCTTTATATTATCAAAAGTTTAACACCAAATTTACTTTTATAGCATATTTCTTGCATTTGTTATTATGAAAAAATATTAAATTTAATTGGAAAAAGAATCAAGACAATGTCTTTAATAAATTAAAGCAACATCTTATTGATGTACCAATTTTATACTATCTGAATTTTGATAAAGCATTTATAATTTATGCAAATGCTTCTGAGTTTAGACTAGATGTCATGTTAGTACAAAAAGATGATCAAAGTAATAAATACATAGTTATATATGCAAGCCATGTATTAACCAAGACCAAAATAAATTACATCACCACTGAACATGAGTGTCTTGCCATTCTTTGGATGATTAAGCACTTTTGGCATTACATCAAGTTGGACTTTTTTGTTGTAATACCTAATTATTTCATCTTGAAGTGGCTTCAAACTTCTACATTGAGTAGTCAATGAGTCTGTTGGGTGTTAAGGCTGCAGCTTTATAATTTTAGAATCATTCATCATCATGAACATGTTTATAATAATGCAGATGTATTATCTTAAATTAGAGAGCTCTAAATAAAATATGCTATCATATTGCTAATAAAAATAAAAAGAAAAAGAAGAATCAGTCAAAGATAAGAACAAAATAAACAAAATAATAATAATAATAATAATAATAATAAATTTGGTATTGTGTAAACAAAATTCAGACCAGGTTACCAGTATCCTGGCCCTCCTATTGCAAAAGCAAAAACAATTAAAAAACAAAAAAAAAAAGTAAAACTGTCTAACAAAAAAAAGAAAAAATAAGTAAATAAATAAATAAATAAAAAATAAAATAATAAAAATATAATAATAATAATAAAATCTAAAATCAAAAAAAAAAATCATTAAATATTTTAATAAGTGGTAGCAAATTGTAGTGCAAAACAGGTTTATAAATATATATACCTATATATATAATTTAAATAAAATAAGTATAATAAAAAAAAAAAAAACTATAAATATGGATCCTGCTTACTATCAGCAATTGAAGCAATATATAGAAAAGCAATATCTATTTCTAACTATCAACCAAGCCTAGCAACAATAAAACAAGAAGAAAAGTGCCTTTTTCAATTTCAAAGATGGATTCTTGTATCGAAAAGACTAAAGAAATAAAAAAAGACTATTATAAGTCTTGCAATAACATGAAGTTAACCCAATTTTGTTTTTAATGCAAATGCACCTTCTAGGTAGACATTTTAATAAGAATGTTATGTTTGAGAAGATCTGTGATATGTACTTCTAATCTCAAATATATGTAGATATATGCTATTATATTTAAACATGTAATCAATGTTAGCATTAAACTCAATCATATAAACAAGGCCTCTTATACTTGCTACCAGTAACTGCATCCTTCTATAAAATTAAGATAGATTTCATTGACCCTCTATTATAAACCTTAGGATGAATCAATACATCATTATCTCTACTAATTATATGACCTATTGGTCTGAAGCATGTATTGTGCAGAAAGTAGATATTCAAACTATTGCAAAATTCATCTACAATGATATAGTGAGTCATTATGAATGCTCAAATCACATCTTGTCAGATCATGGGATGCATTTTAAATAAACTAATAAGATACTTGTTGAAAAAACTAAAAATTAAGCAGTGTTTCTTTATGCCATACTATCTTTGTACTAATGGCCTAGTTGAATGCTTCAACAAAACCCTGTATGAAGCTATTGCCAAACTTGTAGAAAATGTCATTGATTAGGGCTTGTTGATTTTTTCAATATTATTCCCCTATCAAACTGCCCAAAATTCTGCTACCCAAATGTTGCCTTTCTTGTTAGTATATAGTCATAAAACAAAACTGCCCATTTATCTGTATCAAGAAGGAAAAACTTTGAAAGGAACCATATTACAAAGAATCTTTGATCTTGTAAATGTCATATTCAGCCTTTATAAAAAAGCCATCTAGCAGATTAGTCAACAACAATCGAAGCAAAAAAATTATCACAATAAACACCATAAAATCAGCTCTAGATTCGACATTGAGGATATAGTCTTGTTTGAGAATGTTATAAAAGCTATTCATATAGTAAAAAGTTCATTCTAAATTTAAAAGACTGTTTTATATCTATGATAAGCTAATAAACAAGTATATAAATTAAGAACAATGGATAGAAAGGTAATTATAACATCTTTTAACTTGCAACTATTGAAAAAGTTTCATAAAAGAGTATTAAATAAGTAAAAAACAAACAAACAAACAAACAAAAAAAAAAACCTATATCTTATGTCTATATTAGTAGATCAGTCATAACAGTCATATACAGGGATATGTTTAAGAAGTATGACAAGAGTTTGGTATACTCTTCATTTAGGATGTGGACATGTTTTGTTTCTTTTTCTTTTTTGATTTTTTTTTTCTGTTTTAAATCTAGTCAGCAATTTTTAGTTGTGTACAACAGCTATACATGTGAGTTGAGGTATATAGCAAGGGTTCTATCCTTTATTTAGAACATGAACATTATTTTTTTTATTGTATTCTTTCTATTTTCAAATTGGAGTCATGTGACTCACAGTTAGTTGTTTGAGATTAGTCTAGAAATTGACAATTGACTATATTAGTATAGTATAAAAAAAAAAAAATCTTTTTCTTTTTGTGTAGAATGTAAATTAAACTTCCAAATTACCAACTAAATTACAAGTAATGTCCTATAAACTTAATCTCTGTAAGTCTTTTTCACAGGACATGAAAAATCGAGATAAAAAAAAATATTAGAGATAAAACTAACATTTCATAAAATCTGCAAAATGGATGTCATTGTGGCATACTTACCTAATTAGAGTTGCCTATAATGATCTATCTAAAACATATGTGCCTGACTCCAAAAGAAGTTATATGAAAGTACACAAGCCTTCATGCAGGACCTAACTACTCTCTTCAATTAAAGTAAGATTGATCTGAACCAACTTGTTGCACTAAGAATGGATATTGACTTCACCTGTCTTACTTGAGTTAGGTGTGAGATAATGTCAAGAAGGTATGAATAAAGACAATATAATGGGTTCTAACCTTAAGATCATGAAACTGAAACATTTCTCATCAAAGCCATGAGAAATGTTAAAGTAATGAAAGGCTGTGTAGAAGAGGTTAAAGGTTATAACAAATAAAATTAAAAAGTGTTAAAAATAATAAGGAAAGTCATGGTCTTGTATAAGCTTCTTTTATTTAATTTATTCTAAAAGGATGGAATTTTCCTTCTCAAAAAATAGTTTCAGATAGTCCAGCATAATTCAATATAGTTCAAATAATCCTTAATAATATACTTATACTGCTTCTACAAAATATTAATAAAGTTATTAATAAAGACCCTTTGAACTACTAATACAATAATGCTCTTTAAAAACTATAGTACTTATTTTATAATACTTCTTAAATGATTACTTTGATCTTGTGCTAAATCATTAAACTGCCTCTATTATCTTTAAGGAATATTACATGGCATAACTCTTTTTTTAGCAACAATTCGTTGCATTTGCCCTTATCTCTAGACTTAACATTAAACTTATTACATTATAAATATCATTTTGCCAATCACATGTTTTATCACTACAAGAATTAAACAACTTAATCTGATTAAACCTTTCAGAAAAACTTTAAATTAATGATAGTCTAAAAAAGAAATTTAAAATTAATTATTTAAATAACATTTGTATAATTAATTTATAGACATCAAACTCAGTTTAAGTAAAATTTAATTATAATATTTTACTAAAAGTGCTTATAAACAGTTAGGAAATGATAAAAATTTTATCTATTTAGCAATTAAAATCTCATATTATTAAAGGTCTTATTTTATTTGTATAAATAGTTTATTCTACAACATAAGTATGCTTTTTATTTTTTTTAATATTTGTGATTATTTTACTCTTTTAATGAATATTACACACATAGTGATAGAGACAAATTTATTTCTGCAAGTGATACAAGCCCAAAAAAGAAAATAATTGTTATTTTGCTAAAAGTATGTAAGATTTGATCAGTATTAGGGTTAGAATTAAAGGTTGGTATTAGAAAAGTCTTATTTTTTCATTAGAATATAAAATATGTAATTCTCTAGACAATGTTTTGAAAAAGCTTTTGATTTTATATTACATAAATATTGCATCTGACCTTACAATTTATATAGAAAATTTCTCTTTTTGGACTTGTATCACTTGAAGAAATAAGCCATCTTCACCAAAATGCCATTATGGTAGAATGTTTATTTTACTTGTAAAATATCATTATACAGATTGAAGAAAGTTTCTTAATCTGTATACTTTAAAAAATCATTTATTATTAAGAGTAAATAGTAAAATGTAGTTG